ACTGTCTGATTTTTGCTTGCTAAAGGAGAATGGGAAAATGATCCTTTCGAACGGCGCAGAATAACAGACCCAATATGATTCCCTAGCTTACATAAAATCCGAAGAATTGTTGTTGGAAAGAATCCTCCAATGCCTGTTTTATATTATTTAGATGATTTAGGGCCTCAGCGTCCCTTTGTAAGAGAACAATTAATGCATATTAAGGAAGAACCTATGTTGACTCCTAGGTGGGTATTGAGAGATAACCGAATGTACACAAGATGCTCCTTATAAAAGTTTCTAAGTCTACTACGCAATAAGGGATTGTAATAAGGATTACTCCTTCCCGATAATATAACGCTCTCTTTTTTCAATCACGCCAAATTTGTGCATCTAGATTCATTTGTCCTTGCAGGTGAAAAAAAGACACAATTTGATAATGTTGATTACCACTGTATTCGAAAGCCAAGCCCAGCTCTTCATTATATCTATCTAGATGTAATCCCTCCAAAAATTTAGGTTTTCGGAGAGGAAATTTTTTATGTAATAAATCCTCAAATATATACCAGCATGTTCTTTCAGATACATTAGAGCAAATGTTGCACCATCTATAATTCTGTTTCATCTTTTTATATAGCGCCTCCCATTAATAGCCTTTTTTACATGCCCATAAATATGTATTAGAACTAACTTTGCCTAAGCATCTACCTTCCTGCCTCCAGGTATATGCTAAGGCTTTAGTGTCAATATCGTCTTGCATTTTATAGGCGCAGAAGAATTAATCTGAACATATGCAAATTCAGATTGCTAGTTCAGAAGTAGAATTAAACTTAGCTACTAGTATTACATAAGCAAAAAAAGATAAATATCTCCAGTACTTTTAGCGGAAGTGGGATCAGGTTTCTGCCTCGCATCAATATCCAGAACAAGGCGAAGAGGCAGGTTACCATCAATACATTCATGAGAATTGGTAAGCTATAAACTTCAAATGGGTGATCAACAACTATAAAGCCCTTATTTGCCACCCGAATAATATATTTATCAAAAATCTCTTCAGGATGATAGGCGTCTAGAAGAGCGATATCATCTTTACTATTAGACAAATATTGGAAATACACGTGATCAATATAGTCCAGCTCAAAATTAAGGTCTGCTACACCTGAAAAGAGTCTAATTGCTTTATTTATTTCTATAGGGTTGGGTTCAAAATTTTTTTGCACAGGTGCAAGTAGCATGATAGGTATGTGGGTGAAGTTAATATAAAATTATATAGAAAATACCAAATCTTCAAAATAGTAATTTTGAGCGAATACGCTTGCTGATAAAATACTAGGTTAGTAGTAGTACCCAAAAGTAATCGACACAATAATAACCCAAAGTAATCAGGTATAGGGGTACCCCAGAAGTATCAACTATATAAGAAAGAGTTCTAGAAAAGCAGGAGCGCAAAGCAGAATATAGATTTGGTGGCCCCCAAAGGTAGAATTATATATAGAAAATAAGAAATTCTGCTTTGAGGCCACCGATGATAGGTAGAAAAGAGGTCAGGAAGGCGGAAAGGCTCAGAATAATACAAGAAAAGAGTATGAAAGATGTAAATTCTGAACCAATTTGGCACTTCGTGTCTCAACCTGGCAATCGAATAGGTTATAAAAGGCAGGATTGTAAGAATAGCACAATATCGGCGTTTTGTGTGCCTCACCTAGCAATCAAAAAGATGGTAAATAGATTGTAATACATCTTTGACAAATGGCAGGATTGCAAATTCGGCACTTTATGTCTCAACCTGGCAATCGAATAGATCAAATATGACAGGATTTCAAATATAGGGCATATCTCTGGCAATTAAGAGAGAAATAAATATAGATTACAAGTTCGGCACTTTGTGTCTCATCTAGCAATCAAGAAATGGCAATTAAGAGGGAAGCAACTATGTGAGGGTATTCTGGCATCAGAACGGTATCATGTGACTATAACGCAGTAAGATGCAGTATGAATTCGTTTAATTTCGGCCAACACTATTCCACAATTTTGGCCAGAAGCCTGGATATAATAATTCGTCACCCAAGCTAGCATAAAACTGGCAAACTAATAGAACCTCTCTGGATCCCTGCCAGTTCTATGACAGTTCCAGGAGAGTTCTATGACACTAGCAGGACGCTATCACAACGCTATCACAACTCCAAATTGGATCCTTAAATCACATGCCCAAAAGATCGGCCAGAGTTATAGCATAGAGCTGGTAAAAATTAATCGCAAATTCACTGCGCCACCCATCACCTCTTTTTTTACACTATTTCAATATTTTAAAGGGCAACCAAATAGGCGTAAAAAAGAAGCATCCTCGATAACTTAACAGGCTACCAAACAGGCCCAGAAGCAGAAAAACAAGCGAATAGCTCTTTAGAAACAAAAAGAGCGTAAAGCATTGTAAATACATGAACAGTTCCTTGATAATAAAAAGAGAACAGAGCAATAAAATCAAGCAGATAGCTACAAGGTAACAAAAAGACCAAGAACAATAAAAATAAGCGGATAGCTACAAAGCAATAAAAAGACCACAGTGCATCAAAATCACATAAATAGGTAACAGTATACTCAAAGTAGATAACAATTTACTCATAACTAGGTAACAGTTTAATGCAAGTAGGTTGCAATATATATATATTGCAACCTACTTCACTAGATATCAAAATATCTTGAATAATTTTTATTAATTATTTAAGAAATATGTTTAACAAATATTAATTAATCAAACATTTTTATTTCTTTTATTATAGGTTTTAAAGAATAATAAAACACTTTATATAACTTATAATATATTTTTAAATAGTTATAATAATAGAAAGATGTGTTGTAATAAAGTAATTTTAGAATTAAAATTAAAATAATTTACATTAAGTTATTGAAAAAATATTATTAATTTTTTTCTTTTTATATGAATTCTTGATAAATTATTATATTAATCTAATTGTCAAATTTTCAGATATCACATAATATCATATTTGTGATATAAATGTATTGAGTAAAGCCATATGATTAATTATCATAATTCGGGTCAGCGCTAAATTATTATAATTTCAGCCCGAATTATAAAAATTCTGACCAATAACATGAAGCCCTTGACTCAGTAAAAAGAGAAAATATTTTTTTCACGTTACACTAACCATATATAACCATGTCTCGTCCATTGGAATTTAAGTTACACAATGTTACACCTAAATCTAAACCAACATAGTAAATCATATGATCCGTAACATGATTTTCACACCGTCTGAGGAAAAAATCATTTTTACACAATACTGTTTGGGAAAAGCTCAAAGTTTTTGCATATAAATGTTCGGGAATTTCATGGAGGAACCGGCGTCAAAATGGTGTCTGGAATCGTTCGTGAACAAGCTTGTAGAAGAACAAGAAACGGTCCTAACTTTTGAGCAAATTCAAGAGAACTTTTTGACCAATTTTCAACAAATTATTAGCCGGAAGAATATTAGTTATCAAGTTATACTGACTGGATATAGATAACTACCTAATTCTCTTGATTCGTAATTTAATTCAAAGCTAATCCTACATCCATAAAGACGTGGAAAGGGCAAGCAGTTTCGAAGGCATGTAATGAGGATTATAAAAGTTTAGGAACGTGTTTACAGCAGAAGCGCAAACATAAGAAAATCGCTCTTCCTTTTGAAATGATTAGAATGATTATATTGTTGATTAGGATTTCGTTTCTGTAAACGCGAGATATATGGGAGCGTTGCTAGTAATGGATCATGAATCGTACTAGTGGATATCACAATCTCTATGATTGTTATTGTGTTTGGCTACTGCCTATTTTGACACAAAAAGGATTCGGATCGGAAATATGCCAATGGAGCCACCAAGCACTCCTACAACTCGTCATACTGTCGGTGACACGAAAAAGTCTATACACACCGATATATTGAATTTGGTGGGCGTCCTAAATAACTATCTTGACCTCGATGTGAAAATTGCGAAAGAAATTAAAGTGTTCAGCACACAAGTTATCGGTATGTTTTCATTGCATTGTTTATATAAAATCAAAATCCTGATTATATTCCCCCCTTTTAAAATTAATTCTTTAGCACATCGATTGACCTTAAGACGGCATTTTTACATATGGGAACGTTGCCAGTAAAATCACATTACGGGCGACTTACTTATACTATTGATGTTATGAAGGCATACCAACAGAATACATTTTTGACTATAGTCGAAATTTAAAAAAAAAAAAATTTTTTTTTTTGGTTAAATTTATTTTAACATCAATGTTATACTTTTCCATTATTTGAAATAATTTTTTGGAAATCTTGATGCTAGTAAACTTATCTAATTATAAAGACCGGAAACATATGAGCTTGCATCAGCAGAATTGCCGTTTGATTTCCATTCAAGATGGCAGTCTTGTGAATGATGGTCGCGTTACGGGATGTGCTGACAAACGAAGGAATAGAAAATAATGGCGTAGAACCGGACAAATTTCATAATCTTTTCGCTCTACGTAAGTGAATAGTGTAAATATATATATAATTAATTAATGTCCTTATATTTGACTATTTTTGCTATTCTTAGGCGAGATAATTCAGCAGAAGGTAATTATGGATAAATCGATCGTATTCCGTTTCCTGCGAGGGTAAATGTGTTCGTGACGTTTTGAAGATTCCAGCGAACTTACGAGATATATGTGTATACTGTATGTTTAGTATAATTAATATAATTACAGAATATATTTGGTAATTAACACTTAAGTAATAAAAAATAAACGTATATTGAAAAATGGGTTGGTCGTGATCTAAGAAAATCAATTCTGATAATTTTTTATCAAAATCAAGATTTTAATTGCTTATTATATTTAGACTAAAATGTAGTAAGATATATTAATTTAGTCAAAAATTTCTCAGAACCTGATTATCTTAGATCACAACCCAAATATCTACTCCATTCTATTCAAACATTTGTGGCTTTACCAGAAGCTTCAAAGTCAGATTAGCATAAGATCGATACCAATTAAATCATTGAAAATTTTGGCTTAATACCAACTTTTGTATTTCATATTCAAATATTATATAACTTTTATTCTAAACTTTTTGTAATATAAACTATTAAATATAATAGTTAATATGGTGAGTTTGAATATTTTTAGACGAAACTGAAGCATTTATATTTGCAAAGGCTGATGTGATAATACAAAATATGATTGGCAAAATGATTGATACAATGATATAAGTATATCTACCCTGCTGCTGGCTGACCTCTTTCTCATATTTTCATATTATATAAATAAAGAATTTTATTGATTTTTTTAAACATTTTATAAGTGATATGATAAATACATATAGTGAATATACTGTGTTGTAGAGTCAACAATTTCATAATTTATAGCGCAGCAATATGTGTATAAAGATCAACAAAAAATATCAAAAATCACAAGGAAAATCATGTAATAAATGGAAAAATATTATTTTATTAAAGAAGAATTCTCAGATAAATTACAGACTGAAAGAAAAGATTACATAAGAAGGATAAATTAGATACTGAAAAGAAAGGATAATTAAAGGACTGAATAGAGGATCAAGGAGTTAGATAATTAATAAACTGAATTGAAGGTCTTATAGAAAGACAGAAAATATTTGAAAATAATAATTAAAGAAGTAACACAAATATATAGAAAGGTTATATAAAAGGCATAACAATTGGGAATAATAAACTAGATCATATAGAAGCTTATATAATATAAAGATCACACATGACATCATAATAGAAAAATGTTACAAAAAGAAATCATATGAATGGAATTAGTAGAAGTTTAAGAATAAAATATAATAGAAAAAAATCATAAAAATAAAATTAGTAAAAATTTATAAGAATGGAATTAAAGATAGAATTAATAAAATTATAGGAAATAGAATAAATAGTAACAATAGAATTAGAAAGTAGATAACAGAAATAATAAGAATTATAGAACTTTAAATATCACATAATAAATAATTAGATTATTCATCACAGGTATTTACTATTCATTACTTTTATTATGTAAATTTCTTATATATACCTTTTGAATATGATCAAGAAACAAAGTTTGATTTTTTCTAGATAAAAAAAAAAATAAAAACAAAAATTCTTTTAAATAAATAAATTTTTAAACACAAATAAAATGAATACTTTTGTTTGAAATGATTAGTTATTAAACAATGAAATCATAAAAGTAAATAAAGTTATTTTGTTTATACATAAATGATAAATTAGAAAATATTAAAGAAATTATGCTAAAATAAAAATAAAGAATTATTTTATCAAAGTTAAAAAAGGAATGAATAAAAATAATTAATAAAGTATTACAGAAATAATAATATTAATGACAAAAAGATTATAAGAAGAAATAATGACAACACAAAAAAAAATTATAAATATAATGATAATACCATAAGAAAGAATTATAAGAAGAATGATAATAACATAAGAAAGAATATTACTAATAGAATAATAATAACATAAGAAATATTATAAGAAGAATTATAAGAATTTATAAAAAAAATATTATAAGAAGAAAGATATAATGTAAGAAAGAATACAAAAAGAAATAATCATTAATAAAATAAAGATTAAGAAGAATATAATTTAACAAAGGAAAGTAGAATAGATTAATATATTATAATTGAAGTCTAGTACTTGAATAATATTCTGAATACTGTTAATATGTGATTTTGGTAGATTGTTACAATTAGACAGGGTGTTTAAGTATTAATTCTTTTTAATTTATGTAGTAATTTTACTAGTTTTACAAAGACTTGTATATTATCACTAAAATTCACAAAGGTTTATAGGTTATTACTAAAATTCATGAAGGATTATTTATAGGTTATTACTAAGATTTACAAAGGCTTGTAAGTTTTCACTAAGATTTACGAAGACTTTATATTACTAAGACTTATAGATTTATTTAAATTACAGCTTATTATTAAAACTTATACATCACAAAGACTTGTATTGATAATATTACTAAAACACATGAAGTATTGTATTTAAAAATAATAAAATAAGTGAATGGTTTATTGATAATTATATAATAAAAGAAAAAAATAAAGAAATAAAAGAAAAAAAGAAAAGATAAGACAAATATTAGCACTAGGCTAGAGAAAATCCAATTTCTTTCTTATTCTAACATTTATAAACTATCCTATTTATATAAAATAATTTATATAGAAAAATAAAACTAATATATTATACATGTTAATAAATCAAATATATCTAATATATTTGCTATGTCTAATATATCAGTTATGTCAAATATATCAGTTATATCAGTTATGTCTAACATATTAGAAATATCAGAAATATCAGATACAGTATATCAAATATAATATAACATTTGTTTAACATTTCTAACTTTATATATGTTATATATATAAATAATTTAGCAAATCATCTATTCTGCAGATCAAATTTGTAAATCCTCTAGTAGATCAATTTTTGTGAAATATGTTGATCATTTGCTGTATCACCTTAAAACAATACTTATAGGGAAGTCAAAAATAATATCATTTTAAAAGAGAGGAAGAGGTTTAATTCATGACGATATTCTACAAATCATATATATAGGAACTTTGTAGTAGAAAGAAAGAAAACTCTAAAAAATTATAATTTTACTTTCTAAACTAATTATGATTTTTTTAGTAAAATAAGTTCAGATTTAATATTAACTCAAAAAAAAATTTTTTTAGAGTTTCCTTCTTTTTTACTGCAAAGCTTTCATATATTAATAATATATTTTTTAAAATGAATGATGATAAGAAGAGGTCAAAATTTCTAAAATTTTAATAACGTTATTTTTGGTCTTTCCCCTAATATATATATTATAAATGAGGGATAAAACCTTAAAAATTAATTAATAAATAGCTGAAATTATATTAAAATATAGTAAGAAATACATGTATGTGAAATTCTAAATTTGAAATTAGCTATAACTACTTTACAGAAACCCTTAAAATTCTAACGATATCGATTCGATATCGCAATAATATCTTAACGATATCACATCGATATGGAATCAATATCGATATTCATATCTTAACGATATCGATTCGATATCGTTAAGATATTATCGATTCGATGTCGATACGATATGGTTACGATATGGTTAACGATATCGAATCGAGGTCGATGCGATATCG